TACTCTTTTATTAAAATACAAAAATCCCTTATTTTCCCCCAATTCAACTTAACCGGATACTTTATTAGTTTAAGTATCCGCCCGTTATTAATTAAAGTATCCATGCTGCTATATTATGGATTCTCCCGTTAATTAAGTATCCGTGCTGCTAACAACTTAATAATTTAAGTATCCGCCCGTTATTAATTAAAGTATCCGTGCTGCTATATTATGCATCCCCCCGTTAATTAAGTATCCGTGCTGCTAACAACTTAATAATTTAAGTATCCGTCCGTTATTAATTAAAGTATCCGCGCTGCTATATTAAGTATCCACACTGCTATATTATGTATCCGAAAAACACTAAAAAAGGGGATTTTTGGTAATTAATGAAAAAGTAGGGAAAGGAAGTAATTTCTTTCTTATATTATGTCATTTGCCTAATTTTTACTAAATAAAAGATTTACAATGTTTTACAAGTCCAAATTTAAAATTATATAGGACAAGTTATTGAAAAGGGCCACTTTACACAAAATTGGCCCAATTTTCAAAATTAACGAAATTGGCCTAATATTTTTCTTCTTTCTTTCAATTGTGCCACTGATGGATGCTATGCTTCTTTTTCTTACTTTCAATTTCGCCATTAATGATTGTTGTTGTTGTTTGTTTGTTCTTCTCCTCCTCCTCCTCCTTCTTGTATAGTTAGTGTATTTTATGTATAGTTAAACTATGTTTGACCTTTTGAGTGTATCATAATATATAGTCAATGTATATAGATAAGTTGTATTGTATAGTGAGTGTATACTTTCTACGAATTTTGACAAATTATATTGTATAATCAATATATTTTTTATGACTTTTGGTTTTTTTATGGAAACAAAAACATGGTTATATTTGTTGTAAACTAATAACTTTATTGTATGTATTTGAAACTAGCTGAGTAATTAATATATATATCTAAACTTTGAAAACTATAAACTAATTTAAGATATATTAACAAAGTAGATTATAATTAATATTTTTATGTATAAAAAAATTATTTCTATTACAAATTCAAATCAAGATTGGTCGATTTTTTATCGACACCAAATCAACCAAATCAAACCACAAGTCAATTTTTTCTATTCGACTCGGTTAGTCGGTTCAATTTGACTTATCATTTTTGCTTGTACACCCCAAGTGGTAATGGACAATTCGCCTATTTATGGGTGAAGTATCCGTTTTGATCTGTGTAATTAGGAAAGGTCCCTTTTAATATGTAATGCTCATAACATGTTATTTCCAGGCCAAACTCTGTTAAATGGATGTGTAAAGGATCAAAACGTTAATGAAGAGATAAGAGCCAAATAAAGGATCAAAACGTTAATGAAGAGATAAGAGCCCATTTGAATTGGCTTAAAAAAAGTTGCTCTTAAGTCAAAAATAAAAAATCAAACTTAAATGACAGTTAAGTCAAAAAATAAAAAGTCAAATTTAAATGACCTTTAAGTCAAAAAATAAAAAGTAGGAAAGACCTACTTTTGATTTTTGACTTATTTTAAGTGATTTTAAACTTATTTTAAGTTATTTTTAACCTTGTCAAACCCTTCCTAACTTATTTTAAGTCATTTTTTACTTTTTTTAAGTTATTTTCATATTTGTCAAACACTTTCAAAAGTCAGAAACTGACTCAAAAGTAGATTTGATTAATTTTTAAGTCAATCCAAACCCCCTCTAACAGTGCACTTACTTAAATTTGAAGGACCATTAGTGTACCCTATAAAAAAAAGGGTTGATTTTGAGTTTAAAGCCAAACATAAGGGACTATTTTGTAAAATATAATGGGTCAACTTTTAAATTTTAAAAAAATTGGAAATGAAATCTTACATTTAGAAAATTGAAGCCTTATTCAAATTTTATAAATAAATACTACTAATTTCAATCAAAACTTCAAATTGCATGATCAAACGCCCATAAGTTGAGCATTCTATGTGGAGGCAATGTGTAGGGTATTCTATTGGAAGAAACGCATGCATACTTTTGTCAATATAACAAAATGAAAATGTTTGGTGTGCATGTCCACTCTCAACTCCCAATAAAGCAAACCCATACTCTCTAAAAAGAAGAATTTAGGCATGTCGTTCATTGAGTGCAGCATCGCACTAAAAATATATTCTTATGGACCCATAACCTTTAGTTTTCATCATCACAAAGAAGTATTCAAAATCAAATCTTTTTTCTTTTTTTTTTTCATTACAAATAAATAATGATGCAGCTTTTTCACCTCTTTTTGCCACATTGCTTATCGCCTTTTTGATGCTCAAGAGCCGAGCTAGCTTCTGGTCAAAGGTTCATTAGACGGAAAATTATTAAAATTATTTTTTATGTATATATAATAGATGTCAAATTTTCTTTGGCTAGTTTGTGTTTAGTTCTTCAAATTTTGAACTCTTTAGTAAAAATTCTGGCTCCATATATAATAAGTCATACAAACTTCCAATTACATCATTTATAAATGATTTATCATTAAAAAAAAATATATACAATAGATATTAAATTCTCTTTTATTTTTATATTTTGAATCACCGGCCTTAGTGAAAATCATAACATAGATATATTTGATCACTAATAGGCCGTAGCTGCATATATGGTCCAACACCTACTTGTGTAGTCATACTTTGGACTTAGCATACCATTACTGCTTTGATTATCTTCAAGAAACTGTCTTTTTATTTTTTGATGTAGGACTGAAATATATTTTTAAAATAGTTGCAAAATGCATAAAAAGAACCTTCTGCCCCTCCTTTTCCATCAACTCAAGAATTTTTCATTTTCTTTATCCTTGAAAATAAATAGTCAGGTAGCTTTCGTCACATCTTTTTTTACTATACATGGCATGTCGTTTAACGTTTTGGCACATTCATAAAATGAACTTATTTCTTTCCTAAAGGTATTCGACAAATATATTTAACGTCATTTGAGTTAATGTTATTATATTTAGAGTTATTACAATTTTTAATAATATTTATATAGTGTGTTAATTATAAATAACCATATTTATATTATTATCACTAATATAATATAACATGATTATACTATTGCTATTAAATAATTACCGCAAAAAAAAATTAATTGTGGTATTTGCAATTCCTATGCAATTAAAAAATGCAAGTCAGACTGTGCATCGGCCAACTACTTCATTAATACCTTTGCATGGTCCAATTCATACTATACTGACTCATACTTTGGACTTAGCATACCATTAATTCTTTGGCGCCTTTCTTCAAGAAATTCGTTTTACTATTATTAATTCTTTTTTATTTTTTTATTGATTTTTCATCGTTGTTTAATTAAATTTGAATTCATGCTAAGAAGTTTCACATTTGGAATAGAACGTTCCTTAACAAAAGCTACTATGTACTCGAGACATTGGGTTAAAGATGAATGAGTACTTATCAGTGGCGAAGCCACCTTATAGTTAATTAGGGGGTTCATCCGAACCCCTTCGGTGAAAAATTACAATATTATAAATGATTGATTTTTTAGGTATATATATATATATATTAGATGTCGAATCCCCTCCAGCTATTTTGTGTGTAATCTTCAGATTTTGAACCCCACTTCGCCACTGGTACTTACCACTCTACCACAAGTAATTTCTTCAAGAAATTCGTTTTCTTAAAAGAAACTTTTTTTAAAATGTTAGATGTTGGACCTTGGGGATTGTAGGTTCTAGGAGAAGGAGCCATTTGTCTAGCTTTAATTTCTAGAAGGCTTCTTTAAGATTCTTTATCAGTGAGTAATTTATATACTATTGGAATCAGAAGCTTAATTGTAAGAAGCATGTGCTACTTCATGATGATGAAAACGCCAAATAAATTAGGTTTTCTTGGGCCCAACAAACTTATTGCACGCCAGAGTTGCAACAATATTACTAGTAGTTTTAAGACAACTCAAATTAGTTTTCTAAATCACATGGCTTTCGAATTTTAGTGACATTATCTCAACTACTCAATAAACAACCACCATTCTACTTTCTAATTTCTTGCTACTCAGATTTTTGTTATAAAATCTAGTAGCACATGCTAACCTGTCTATTTATGTATATATATATATATATATAGTTGATGCTGAATTCTTTTATCGAAAATTCTGATTTCGCTAATGACTTGATATATAATTGAGATGCGCACCACCAGATCCAACCCTATTACTAGCAAGAGAGTGCTTGATCCTGCTTTTTGTTTGACGATAAAAAGAAAGATAATATCTTAAAGGAGTAAAATTCCAAGTGATATAAAGACATTGAACAAGGACGAAAGCCATGTGAGTTTCAGCGGCTAGTAGAAAGAGTAGATAAAAGCAAAAGACCAAAATATGTGTATTTAAATAACATAAGTTAGTAGTAGAACCTAAAGACAAGACAATTGTATCTGAATAAAAATAGACAGCACTCTATGCACCATTTTCTCTATTTTATTAATTTGATCTACCTTTTATTTATTTTTTTGTCTAAATTTTCTGCAACAATATTCTAATCATCATCACTGAGATTATTTGCTTTATAAGTAGTGGGAGATAAGAATCTTTAAGGCCCTCACCCTATCAAGTATCAATACCCTTTTTGACTTAACAATATATTAAGATTATTTTGTCATGTACTTCAGAAAACAAAAAACACTGACCAAACATGGATTGCCAATTCCTTTTGTTTTTCTTTTTTGTAACAATAATTGAAAACACAACCTGGATATTAAGCTGCAGAGTACTTTTGCTGCTTTGACAAGTCATATTCCAGTCAGACAGACATATAATAGTGCTTGTTTGATCATTTTGTCATGAAATATACTTATTGGCACATCCACTATCAACATTTGGACCTTCCTTCATTTGAACAACAAACACAAGAGGTTACTGGAATTACATGTTAGAATCGATTGTTACATAAAAGAACCGTGAAAAATGGATCCTCACATACTAAAACCCGGTGAAAAGGAATCCGGTAACCCGGAACAACAGAGAACCAATAACATAATAAAAAAAATTGAAACTTTAAATGACCATAATATGAATAGATCAAGCGGATTCTTCTTCTCCGGGACTAATAGCATATATTAAAATTTTCCATCAGTTTGGGATATCATACTAGTTCCTCCTGGCCTTCTGAAGGACATCTGATCATTTCCAATATGTTAACCACTTCTGCCATATCAGGCCTGTTTGAAGGGACTTGTGATGTGCAGATTAAACCCAACTTCATCACAGGAATCGCTTCCTCTGCTGGAAATTTTCCATGCAGCCTCTTGTCAACACACTCTTCCACCTTGCCTTCTTCCAATGCGCCCCGTACCATGTCACACAATACAATAACATCATCCTCCATGTACTCAACCGGTTTCTTTCCAGTGACTATCTCCAGAACAAGAACTCCAAACCCATACACATCGCACTTATCAGTTATCTTCACAGTCTTGCATGCGAATTCAGGTGCCATGTAACCGAGTGCACTTTGAATTTTGCTGCTCAAAACATATCGATCTAACATCGGTAACAGCCTTGCTAACCCATAATCTGCAACTTTAGGATCACCAGAGCAGTCAATCAAAATATTGCTGGACTTGAGGTTATAGTGAATTATGTTCATTTGATGTAAGTTAGCCATGCCTTTTGCTGTCCCAAGAATAACGTTGAACCGCTCATTCCATGAGAGCATGTTTTTACTAGAACCTTCATGGATATGATCATACAAATTTCCACAAGTTATGAATTCATATATAAGTAGCTGTAGTGATGGAGTCCAATAATAACCTTGAAGAGCCACAACATTAGGGTGATGAACTTTTCCCAATTTCTTAACCTCCTTTTCAAAGTCTACCTGAGACTTAACAAGACCTGAGACAGTAAGCTTCTTAATGGCCACAGGCATCCCATCTCCGAGGACAGTGCGATAAACGGCTCCAAAACCACCACGTCCGAGCTCACAATCCTTGTTAAGCAGAGCATGTGACCCTGTGCTGAAGTCAAGTTCGCCTGAAAACATGACAAGCTTACCAGAATTTGCATCTGTACTGTGTGAGGGGCTATAGTCATCTCCACCAGAAAATGTAAGGGCAGCAGCAGAGTGAGATGTTGCAGACCGTACGCGAAGATTTAGCACAGTAATGGCAATAACACCAACAACAATAATAGCAGCTGCACTAATGGCAATGAGGGCAGAGATGCTTAGGATTTTCTTTTCGTGACCCACAGTCAGAGGGATAGTACCAGGAATAGATTCTGTGGAGTTGGGATTCAGAACAATCGGCTTGGGAAGGACAGTTGGACAAGACCTATTAGCAGCAGCTCCACAAAGAGATGGATTGGCTGACACTGAATAGGGAGAAATAGTGTTAAAAAAACCACCAGAAGGCAGTTCGCCCTTTAACTGGTTGTGTGAGATGTTGAACAACTCAAGGTGACCAAGATTTACCAGCTGCTTTGGTAAGATTCCGGTTAATTTGTTGAAGGAAAGGTCAACATTTTGTAGGTTAGATAGTTTAGCAAGGGTTGCAGGTACAGGGCCAGTTAAACCATTATGTGACAGAGACCTGCCAAGTTGATGGAAACAAAACCGATTAACCAAGCTTTGAGGAAAGCTGATATTCAAAGACTACTTCATAAATAAATTTACAGGCTAGTCACATAAAAACATCGAAAACCAGGTAATGTGATGTTGTTACATTATACTTTATGTAAAATATTAAGTACAGGAAATTGCCTTATCTAGAAAAAAAAAAGGATTTTATCTAAAATCATACACTAGAAGCTACTTGGTTAACTCAATATGGGAAACTCTAAATGATTGCTAGAAGCTTAGAACTAACAAATTAGTAGAACATGATAAAGAATCTCTAATATAAGGATTCGTGCTTGATTTAGTCACTAGAATTTTGACAATCCAAAACAACGTTGTCTGAGAGGAAACTGCGAAAAAGAATGCAAACGCTAGTTCCTTAATTATCAAACTATATATCAATCAGGTTCTTCTGTACAATAACTTACCACTACATTGTCCTTATGAAAACCTCCAAGCAGAGAGATTATCTCAAATGAAAGATATAAATGAACGATAAAGAGAAACAAGAACTTACAAGGACAAAAGAGTAGAACAGTTTCCAATAGAAGTAGGAATTTCTCCTGTCAAGGCATTCTTCTCCAGTTTCAGTTCCCTGAGAGCATAGGCTCCTCCAAGCTCCAGAGGGATACTACCATTTAACTGATTCTCACTTAAGTCAAGAACATCCAGTGACTTTAGATGGCCAACAGTCTCAGGGATGTTCCCTACAAGTGCATTTCTAGATAAATTCAACGACTGCAAGCTGTTAAAATCACCTATAGCAAATGGAATTTCACCAGTTAACTCATTGCAAGAGATATCGAGAACTAGAAGCTTTTGTCGAGAGTTTTCCAGTGAAGAAGCAATAGCATTCTTCATGCCCCTACTTAATTTATTCTCAGAAAACAAAACATGTCGCAATCCTAATTTGAATACCCAAGGAGGAAGATCACCCGTCAATGAGTTGTGACTAACATCCAGTGTCATAAGATTAACACAACTGCTCATGGACTTGGGCAAGTCCCCAGAAATAGCATTTCGCGACACGTTCAGTAATTTCAGTGATTGAAGCTTCCCAACTGAATTCGGGAATTGACCAGAGAAGTTGTTCCCAGAAAGATCAAACATCTGAAGGCTTTTCATTTCTCCAATCCATTCAGGTACACTACCAACTAATGCATTGTGTTTCATAATCAACTCATTGCACAAACTAAGCATCTGCATTGTTTTAGGAAGTTCTCCAGAGAAAGAATTTTCACTCAAATCAATTGACCTCAACAGCAAACAACTTCCAATTCCATCAGGAACTTCACCTTTGAGATGATTTTTCCTCAAATTTATGGCTCTCAAATTATGCATACCTTCAATACCTACTGGAATTTCACCATCCAGCAAATTATCTGACAGATCAAGTGACCTTAGCCCATTCAAAGACCAAATTCCAGAAGGTAACAATCCTGAAAACTGATTTGAGGACAAGTTTAAAGACCCCAATGCCACACATGAGTTCAAACTTTCTGGAACTTTCCCTGAAAACTTATTCTTGGCCAAAGAAATTGATCTCAATGGCCCACATTGTTCAAAAAAATCACCCGGAATCGTCCCAAATAAGTTGTTCTCACTCAAGTCTAGAATCCTCAGATAAGCAAGTTGAACAACGCTGCTACTTATACTCCCTGTAAAATTATTCTTCGCAAGCGAAAGCTTTCGAAGAAACTGCAACCTCATAAGACCTCTACTAATCTTACCTGAAAGCCCAAACCCATCAAGAACAATCTGAGAGACCCTATTGGATCTGGGGTTGCAATGGATACCATTCCAGCCGCAGGGGCTAACATCTTCTTCATTCCAAGACACCAACTTCCCTTGTGGATCTTGAACATCAGCCTTGAATACCATCAACCCCAGTATATCATCATTAAAAGATAAGTTCAAGGCTTTAACAAAAATAGGAGATACTAAAATACAAAATATTACTATACCAAAAACCTTCCTCATTTCCATTCTCCCAGCTCAATAATCACAAAGCAATATATAAGTTACTCATAATCCCATCAGCAACCCCAAATGGGTATACATAATTATATACAAGAACAAGCAAAAGATACAATCTTTAGCACAAGAAGAACGTAACATCCAAAAAAATGGGTAAGAATTTTTTTGAAAAAACACCCAGTTCTTAAAAAAACCCTAGAAATCCGGAAAGAGTGAATTTTTAATGAAACAAAGTGGAGAAGAAGAAAATGTAGATGGATGAGTGGAAGAAACAGTTGAATTTTGGCAGCAGAAAAAGGGAAATCTGAAGGGAAGAAGAAGGAGACAATGAGAGTGAATTTGGGGTTTCGCCGGAAAATGGAAAGCGCCGGTGAAAAGTTGAAGGTTGTTGATGAGGTAGTGAGGAATAAGCCGGAGAAAGTAGATAAAAGTAAAGTGTTACCGGGGACGGCGGGTCAGTGGGAGCATTTATTAACGTTCTCTTTATCTCTCTCTCACAGTTACAGAGTGTTTTAATTAACGGGAAAAAGAAAGGAAAAAGGGAGTGGGTGAGTGCTTTTATTAATGATGACACGTGGCATTGTATGGTCGGTTATGGAGAGTCTGATGTGGCAGACACGTAAGTCAATGTCAGAATAGAAGTAAATGGACTGAAGGAAACAAAGGGTGTTAATTAATTTTGGAGTAAGGGATATTAATTAACAAACTCCACCTGATGGTAAATCAAAGACACTTCATAAGCTAGTGCTACTCACTATTTTTCAAATATTTGTACTTATTAATTGAGCATTAAAAATATATATTTTCCCCGAGTATATATTACTTGACTCAAATTGACATGACATATTTTTAAAGAAATTTTTGAGGTTGACTATTACTCCCTCTTATTGATATTATTATTATTATATGTATATTACTATTATATACAGTTATCATTTCTATTTGAGTATATGTTACGAAAACGATAAAAAAATGTTCTTAAACTATGTGAAATGAATAAAAATACTCTTCATTTATAATTTAGCTCAAAAATACCTTTATCATCAATACTTTGGTTCAAAAATTCTTTTGCAATCAATATTCTGGTCCAAAAATGCCCCTATAGTTACTAAATAAGTCAAAAATGTCATTTTCAAATAAATATATTAATTATTTTTTTCCTTTTAAACACGTCTTCTTCCTAATTAAAATATTATTAAGGAACCCTATTCTTGTTTTATTTCTTTTAAAATCACTTTAACAAATAAAAATATAGGAAATAATATTTGTTTTCCCTTCTTAATCTCATTTTATCAATTAAAATAGAATAGCTTACCCTTTTGATGGATAATATATGTCATATATATAAGATCATAGTATATTCATCATTAATTTTTATTTATATAACGATAAAAATAATTATAATAAAATAATAATGTTTTAACTTCTTTTTTTTTTAATTGAAGTAGGATAAGCGTTTGCTAATTTTAAAAAATATTATTAGAAAAAAATGTGTTAAAAAGAAAATAATATATATATATATATATATATATATTATTAGAAAATATGCATTTTGACCCATTAAATAACAATAGGGGCATTTTTGGATCAAAGTATTGACGACAAAGGCATTTTTGGACCAAATCATAAACGGAGGGCATTTTCTGACTATGATAATAAAAAATGCAAAGTAATTAAAAACTTCATTAAATAAAGGATAAATATGAAAAAAGCCTTAATAATTTATTTAATATGAACTAAAGAGAGTACTATTTTCTGTTGTTATTTAATATTAAGGATACGTATAAGAAAAAAGTAAAAAGAATAATAATTTACTAACATAAACAAGTAAAATGAAATAGTTATTTTTAACATAAAAGTCAAGAAAAATGGAACGAATGGAATATCTTACTAAAATCAAAAGATAACACTTTAAACAATTAAACTAGTGAAAATATCTTTACTACTTTAACCTTCTTTTTATTAAATTTTTTTAATAAAAGTTGGAAAATGAAATTACAAATTCGAAATTCAACTCTCATGAATAAGATACAAATTCAGATTGCTACTAAAATTATATTACAAGTCTTATGAGGTGGGACATAAAAAATTTATTAGTGGTTTGAAGACGAACTTTGTTTCCATCACTATAACTTAAAACAAAAGTATCCTCTGTTTTTCTCATTTTTTGTCACGATGTCATGCGTTTCCAAATGTGCATGATCAATTCATGTTTTAAATAAAACACAATCAATATTGACTTATAATTTGGATTAATAAATAATAATGTTTGTATTTGTGCTTTCTATTATACAGTTAGAGGTGGGCGCTGAGCCGCTGAAGTGTTAAAGATTAGGGGTGTGGTATGGTACGATACAATATTTATAAATTTTGATATCGTAATTTTGATATTTGATTTTTAAAATATTATATTTCATTACCATACTAACTTAAATCGGTATGGTTTGGTATATTAAAGTTCGGTTTTGATATTCTATGGTATGTTAAATCGGTACTCATAATTTGTTCAACTTCGACTAATATATACTCGTTTAATAGAGTATTATGACTTCGGCAATTAAAAAAAAATCTCAATTGTATCATACTAATACAATACACATATAGAAAAATATATGCAAAATAAAGTACAAACAACTCCTTTGTTAATCAATTATAATTCAAATACATTTCAATCAAAATAGAGTAGCCAAAGTTTATACTAATACTAGGTTGCATATTTGTTAGTATTTTAATAATATATATTTGTTATTTATGTAACTTTATACTTCGGTATGGTATTCGGTATTTCGGTATGTTACTTCTAAATACCAAATACCATACCGAATATAAAAAAAAAATTAAAATGTATACCATATACCACATCAAATACCATAATACCAAAACCACGATATTAAAAATGTATGTATAGTATGGTAAATTGATATATACCATGCCATGCCCACCCCTAGTTAAGGTAGGACAAGAAAAAATTTAATTTGGATTTTCAATTTTTTGAAATCAAAACATTACAATGCAAATGCAATTTCAATAAGCTTGATTGGATCAGTATTTTTTAATTTAATTTTGAATTAAATAATTTGGCTATTTTGAATTTTCAATTTTGAGCTTGTAATTAAGTTGAGTTGTTTCTTCTTACAAAAATAAACATTCAGATAAAATACTTGTGTCTAAATACCTTAATAATCCCTCAATTCCATCATGAATCATGATCATCTAAGTAAAATGTTAATGCAAGTAATGAAACTATTATATCCTAGCAAAGGAACCATTAAAAAGTACTCCAATTAAAAAATTAACAAGTGTAAACATAGTAAAATTAAATATCTCATAATACTAATAATTCATATTCACTCAAACACTACTCAATTATTAGACTATTTGTGAGACTTAAACAACAATTAATATGCATATTTTTATCATAATTATTATTGTCACTAATAGAACACGTGGGATAATCACTCAAGAATTAGTCGTGCATTTTATTATTTTGCGTGTTTTTTTATCCAGACAATGGAAAAAAAAATAAAGATATATAAAATGCATAAAAACAATCCAGTACTAGAGCCCCTAGCTACAAATAAGTCAATTATCTATATCCGTAGGAATTGAACTCCCCTTATAAGATGAAGGTGGCAAAACAACACTCATCTTGGAGCTAAGAAACTAAAATATGGCAATAGCTAAATGCTTGGTGAGAATGTCAACAGGTTGGTCTTTTACTTGCAATCACGAAGAGAACCATCTCAACAAAAAATAGTAAAAGACTTGTAGAGCGAGACCACTAGACATGAAAATAAGAAAATGACTATCAATAGTATGCTCTAACAATCGTTGTGGCATCTTAGAACAAGGAGCTAGAACATGTATGCAAATTAGTGGTATTCATCATCATAGGTGTGTAAATTGGTTTGCATTTTTGCATTTTCGTCTTGAATAATGGATAGCATGTTCTGAATTTATTGTCACTATGAGAGGGACATACTATTAGTCGTACAACACACTTTAACAGCTAGAAAAAAACTTAATGAAACTAAATCTCGAGTGAAAAAAAATTCAGCTCTTAGCTTTGATATCACTTTTATGAAGAAAGTTTGAGTGGATGTTAGTGAATATTATATTGTTGTAAATATAGATGAGAAAATATGTAAGAACGCCCACACCATTATACACAAATAATGAGGGGTCAATTTTGAAGACAAAAACTCAACAACAATAAGAAATTGACGTAGTATATATACCATGCTCACTTTAATATATATATATATATATGTCATGCTCTAGGCGTCTGTTTGAGACAATAAATTTATTTATGTAGTCTACAAACATGGTAAGTATATGTGGGATGAGCAAAACCAACATAATGGTATATAAACGTACTCTATTGGAGGTGGACTTGTAAAAAGATATTTTGTACATCTAATTATTGCAAAACCAATTGCTTTGAGACTGCACCACATCCCAAATGGTGGATGATTTTACCACTAGACTGAATGTTTCAATATAGTCATGTCCTTCGAGTTGGTGAAATCTTTTGGCAACTAGACATTCCTTGTACCACTCAAGGTTATCAAAAAAATTCGTTTAATTTGAAATACCCATTTTTTTTTACCGAAAACATTAATAAAAGGCTCGAACCAGACAAAAGACCAAGTCATGTTGCATAAAAAGGTATTCCATCTTAAAGGTTATTGCATCACACCAAACTTTATGTTTATTGATTTTAGTGAATCTAATAAGTTCGATGAACAGTTTAGTTTGAAAATAAACAGATGTAATATTAGTTGGGTGCAATGAATGAGACATACGATGAACAATTTTGTGATGAGTATGTTAAGAATGAGATGGGAGGACCAAGCGATGTAGGAGTGTCACGATCCAGGGGTACACCTTAGAAGTAACATGGCGTACTTGACCTCGAAGGGGTCTCATACAAGCCCTTAGCATATCATAACATAAGATAATAGAAAAGTACGGAAATTTTAAAAACTTTATCCATACAATCAAAGTCTTTTATAAAAGCAAGCGGAAGTCTTACTACACTTTGTCTCAAACCATCTAATACAATACTTTGAATAACTCTTGGGTCACATCCCATACAATAGTCTCAAAACATGAAAATAAAAGACATAAAGG